GAAAATATTTATCGAAGTTTTTAGGCTACATCACTGATTGGAGGACAGCTCTGCCCACATTCAAAGTGGCTTGATGCAAACCTGCTCTGATCTCAAGCACAACACAGCACAACATAGCAGCTTAAACAAAGCACTGAGCTAACTTGGCTGTATTTCTGGATTGGCTCTGGTCCAGATTCAGCCTGCTGAACATAAGTAGCAGAGCTTGTGTTCTTCAACTTTGCTCAAAAGCACGTACAAGGACAGCAAGCTTCTGCATAGGCAAATATTACTTAAATGAAACTAGATAAAGGACTATACTCTGGGTCTTGAAAGGCATCTAACCTGTTACAGCTTCATGGTGCGTTGTTCACTTTATCTTCCCTAGAACAATGCACTAACTACCCACGGCAGATGACACTGGAAGCTATTAATACACTGGCCTAAATACAAACCACTGGAGCTAGGAATTCCCTAGCTCTCACCTGTGCTCAGCTGAAAACCCTTCTTCTGGCATTAAGAGTAAGTCAAGGTTCTTCTTCCCATCCCTCAGTTATCCATCTGTGAAATTCAGGATGACATCCCTTATGCAGTACGTTTGTTAAGACACGTAAGTATTTTAATAACATGCACGGAAATGCTTTGAAAATGACAAGCATTATGTGCACCAAGCTATGTAATTAATACTAATGACATTAAAAGCCAGTATACTTTTCCCAGAGCACAGCAGACATGATGAATTGTATGAAGTAAGGATGAGTAGGATGAGCAAGGTTGTCTTCTTGATACAAATGTTTACCATAATGCTTCATCTGTAACATGTAATATTTCTGACACAATCACGCAATCTCCTGAATTAAATCTCTAGTGCTACTCACCAACTATCAAAAGAAAAGAGGTTTCCAAAGCCCCTAAACGTGATGTTAATCATAACCCATATTGCATCATTTTCTGGCAAACCAGTATAAAAAAAGTATCAGAAGAAATTTTATTTAAAACTTGTATGTTATTGTACCTTAAATCAATAGTCATACAAGTTGTATTGAACTCTGGGAAAAACAACAGCATGAAAAAGAAATCAATAAACTGTGACGAAGAATGGGAAGAAAATTTATTTTGAATAGCTGTAACAAAATGGAGAAATGGTATGTAACACATTCAAAATGTTGTTTCCAGATGGCTGAGAGTGCAGTCAAGGAGGCTCTCACATTTTTAAAGGCAAAATAACCTCGGAGGACAGCGAGTGAGAAACTGAAAGAGCACGGATTTCATAGTGCAACTTTGAACCAGCTCCCCAGACGAGCCGAATTTTAGCAACAGATTAGGAACTGAAAATAAAAGGCAGCAGCAACCAAGCAGAGCTCACACGCACGCAGCCTACACTAGGGCTGCCTTAAAATTCAGCCCCAAGGCGCCAAGTCACTCGAGGGCTCTGCCCGCGACCGAGTTCCCTCTGCCCGAGTTCTGGCAGCGCCGGCCGCTGTCACCGCTGCCCGAGCGGACACTCCGAGAGGCACCGGGGACTCGCTGCCTCGCCCGGCCGTGCCAAGGCCGCAGCGGGCACACGGCCCCGGGAAGGACGGGAGGGAACGGGAAGGACGGGAGCGATGGGAAGGAAGGGCGGGCACGGGCCCCGCACGCGGGGACAAGCGGCGCCGCATGATGCAACACGGTGGGCACGGGAGGGAGGGGATGGAGGGGATGGAGCCCGCCAGATCTCCCGGGAGAGCGAGGACTGCGGGTGGGGGGCGGGAAGCGAGGTCGGGGCGGCACTTACCGAGCGGGGGGCTCCCCGCGTCCACGGTGAGACTCAGCGCCGCCATTCCCGCCGTCGCCGCCGGAACCAGGGCAGGGTGCGGGGCGGGGCGCTTAGCGCTGCCAGCTCGGCGAGGGTCGGCCCGGCCACGGCGGCCCGGCAGGACCCGCCCCGGGGCGGGCCATGGACCGTCACTTCCGTCGGGAGCAGCCACAGAGGCGGCGGAACAGGAGGGGAGGGAGCGTGGTTTGTCCCTGAGTCCGCCAGGAAGAGGCGGCGAAGTCGGAGCCGGGTGGGCGGTGCAGGGCGCTCTCCCGGCCCCGGGAAGCCGTCCGGGATGGGCGCCAGGAGGAGGCTGCCCGGCTTCTAAGCGGTGCCAGGAGCCGGCGCTTCTCTTCTCACAGCCTTCCCCAGGACTTTGCGGGAATTGCGTCCAAAAGCTCCCTGTTGGATGTGTGGCAGCAGCCGTGGAGATGCCTTCATCCCCTTTTCTATGTGGGATGGTACAAACGAACGGCGCAACACGTACAGACACGTTTGAGCGCAGTGGTTTCATTCGTCTGTTTTTGTAGAATGTTATTTGTTCAGCTCCTGACAAACGTGCAGCCAGATGAGTCATAGAATATCCCTACTTGGAAGGGACCCACAAGGATCACCGGGTCCATCTCCTGGCCCTGCACAGCACAGCCCCAAGAAGCAGATCATGTGCCTGACAGCAGTGTCCAAATGCTTGAACTCTGGCAGCCTTGGTGCTGGGACCACTTCCCTGGGGAGCCTGTTCCAGTGCCCAACCACCCTCAGGAATCTTGGAACAAATTACAAAAATGCTGTGTCACCGGTTTTTCACAGGAGACTGACTCAAGTTCACTTTGTTGCAAGGACAATGCAGTGTCACTGTGACTTTTTTTTTCCCCTTGTTAATTTTATAGCTGTTACTGTACCACCTAATGTGCTAGCAGAGAAATTATCGAATGCTTGATTGGTGGACCAGTGCTTTTTGTGCAGTGGATGCAGTGGTATAGCCAGAGCATGACTGTATGTTAGGTGCTGTTTTTTATGATTGAGTCCTGCTGCTGGCCTTGATCTCTACTTAATATTCTCCTGTGTTAGCAGTTTTATAGTTTCTGTAAGCATGGAACGTGTTTCCAAACACAAGTGTCTGTACACATCATGCAGAAGCTGGTGTATGCTATGTGTGTTCTACTCCCATTCAGGTAACAAAGAGAGCAGACTGAAATTACAGCAGAATTAGAAACAGGCTTATGCTGAAGAGATTTTCAATCGTATTACAAGTTTGAGATGAAAATAAGGATATAGATATATAGATGAAGTTTACTAACAGTGGGTTCTGTACTTAGTATTTTAATGATTACATGGAAAGAATTACTAAGGCAGGCTTTGCGTTGTGTAAGTTGTACATGTTTTGCAAATTCACATGCAGATTTTGATGGGAAAGCTAAAGCATGCATAACAAAGAATCCTGTATAAGTTAAAGGTGAAAATTATATATAACTGAAGCAGTGAAATGAGATTAGGCTTGTACTTGCTGTATGGCTCAATCTTCAGTCACAATCAATATGTGGAATGACTAAACTTCTAATGGGCCAAAACATGAAGAAGGTTCTAATTATAGCAGGCTGAATCTGTCTTGCCTGCTCTTACCAGTCATGCACTTGAGGAAAGAGAAGGAAGGTAGGCTTTAGATCAAAGGATTAGAAGCATGCATCAGTCCTATGTATGCAGCTTTAATCCAGTGTCACGATAGAATGAGGTAAGTGCTAATCTTGCTAATTTATCTAAATGTTACGCTAAGATGACCTCACTAAGGAAAGACCTTCCTTAGATCCTGTTCCATGCGTGCACAGGGAGAAACTGGGAACACCTTAGCAAGAGTTGCCTCGCTCATATCTTTTGGTGTCAAGGTGTTCCAGCTTGCTGAAAACAGAGCCAGCTTTCAGGCACTGAAGTCATATTGATGTTATCCTGTGGTGAGGAAAGGATATAATCTAAGGACTCTTAAGTAAATTAGAGTTGTTAAACACCTTGTGTGATGAAAAGGAAAAAGAAGTAACATGAACATAATGTTGAAAACTGAAATCTGAAATTTTCTTCTCTATGGAAAACATAACTTTTGTACCTTTAAGTGCTGGTTGAAAGATGGTTTGTGTGGATGAAGAGGGGCAGAGAGGAAGAAAGGGTGCAGTGCAGCCTGCAGGCTACTTTAACATTTATGGTGTCAGCACAGGTAACAGCAAAAAAAACCTCGTGGGAGAGGAGCTTAGGGATTCAGTCTTTACATAAGCGAGCAGCTGTGTTCAGGCACCCTCCCTGACACCACATGCTTGAGAAGCTGACATATGCCACTCTTTTCTCCACAAAGACAACAGAAAGAGAAGCAAAACTATGCGTTGTCTGTTGAAACTGGCATCTCTTCATGGAATGCCTCAGTGTCACACTACTGGGGAAAGGGATGCCCTAAGACTCCTTAATTTGAGAATAAGGGACTTGGGGCACAAAATCTGGAGAAAACAAAGGGCATAGAGGCCTCAGTGGTTCAAGATCCTAACTCCAGAATTCCAAATTCAGCTTGAAGAGACTTCACCCGCTTTGGCTAAGGTTGCCAGTTTTAGCTAGTTCTATGTCATTTAATACTTGTTCTCTTTTGTGTTCAAGTGGACTGAGCAGTTGAATCCTGCTTTCTTAAGACCCACACCTATAGGAAAGCTGACTGAAACGGGCTCTCCAATTTTTAAGTTAATTTGTGGTGATCTTGTCCCTCTTCTTTCCCCTCCCATAACATGCCAGCGTTTCAGAGGGAGGGCGAGTGGTACTGTCAGGTTCTTCAACTCATTGGGACTGTTGGAAAGCACCTGTTTATCTCAAAATTTGGACATGAAACATTTTAAGTTCTGCACTTTCTGTTATCCCCACGTATGTCGAAGTGACCTAGGATGTCCAAAGCGCTCCAAGACTGCAGTGGCATAAACCCTGCCAGGGACATTTCAAATGAGAGAGGTGATTGGAACTCCTCCCCCTGTCACCTTTTCCTTGAGGGTTTTCCTCAACTAAGGTGTCCTGAACCTGCTGTATTAATGCTTCACTGATCCTCAATGGATCCAATGACCCAGGAATCTCTGTTTGGGATGTTGAAGGACCAGATGGACTGTGTCCTGCCTCCTGCAAAACTCAGACAACCCAACTCACCACAGATAACAATTTTGGCCATCCCAAAACTGAGTGCAGATTGAAAAATTCAAAGATTCACTTTTAAGAATCAAAACTGGCAACTTGATAACAAATGGGCTAATCCATCCAGGCAAATCCTTAGTCCATTTGTATTTAACACAATAACCTGTATTGGCTACATACAACAAAAAAGCATCGAGCAAGATCAGGTAAATGACTTAATGTGATTTTGTTCCCAGAATTTTCAGGTGATTTTTGGCCTGCAGTGTTATGATTTACAGTATATCATGCACAGTCATGAAGAATAAAAATTCCCAGAGAATATAGAATACAGCTGTTGAAGAAATGTGACCACTTTGAAGTTGCCTGCTAAAAAGAGCAAAACAATCTGATCCAACATTTACTTACAGATTCTGTGTAACTTTGAAATTACTGAACACCTTAATAAAATAATTCAGTTCAGATTCTGTAAAACAAGATTTCAAGCCCATTTGTCTTCTTTCTCTCTTTTTTCCCCAAGTTCACTTTCTCAGCCTTCCAGGCCAAGTGAAGATGCTTCCCTTGCTTTAAGGCACTAGAGACTCTTTCACAGTGTTAGGAATACGACTGGCATAATAGTCATAATTCCTCAAAGTGGCGAGGACCCCAGCTGAATTCATGTGTTTTACTTCCTTGTTATACTGAAATGAATTTCCACGGATATCAGTTATCTTGCCTGGAAAAAAAAAATAAAAGAAAGAAAGAAAATAATATTCTAGCAAAAAAGGGTTGGGAAGAGAGAATTTATTAGTTCAAGTTATATAACTGAAAAAGCACTCCTTGGTGTATGCACGCCTGTCTTCAGATGTGAAGTATCTTTGCTTCCAGTTTAAGTACAACAGGTTTTTTATTGACTGAAATCAAATAACTAGTGGTTTTATCTTTTTTTTTTTTTTTCAACAATACTTAAATTCCTTGTGTCTCAGAAAAAGGAAAACAATATTTTTCTCTCATGGATTATTTAAAATGCTTCCCGAGTAGCTTTTACATTGGCCGTTGACAAGAAGGAAAGAAAAATCCTCAGTTCAAGTAAAAGCCAGGGTAAGTCTACACGACTGTAACATAATATAGAAACACACCAGTTGGTTTTGAAAGAGTTTCTAGAAACCACTTAGCAGGGACAATGGAGATCATCATGCAAGATTTTTAACCCGGAGATACATCCTTAACACGGAGGATAAAATACAGCACTGTTCTGCTGCTTTGGGCTTGAGCTAACTGTGTAAAGCTATCCCAGTTATCAACTCCAGAGACTGCAGAGTTAAATAGTTGTAGTTAAATAGAGTTAAATAGTGCCATTATGAAGCCTGTTATTGCTTGGCAGAATTGAGGAGATGAAATCCCATAATTTTAGCACACAGTCGTAAAAGGTCTATCAATGTGAACAGCAGAAAAAAATTTTAATAATAATAATAATATACTTCAAATCTTTGTCAGTGAGACTTTTCATAGCTTCTCAATCCCTTACCCCTAGGTAGGTGAAGTGGCTTATATTGTCTGGAGGCCACTAATTCTACTCAGTTTTGGAGTTTGTACATCTGAGGAACAACATGATTTGACCCATTTTGTTGTTTTGAAGAGTTCAATGTCCACATATTACATAATACGTTACTAATAAAAAAGTACTATATCCAGTTAGTAGGGCAGCAGGATTTTACTATGAGATAGTAGCCAACAAAAAAAAAAGCCATTTGTTTTGAGAATCTTAAAATTAATATATGCAAAATTTTGAATTTGGCTTTGTTGATTATTTGATAGTTATTGATTCTATTAGTCCAGAGCAAAATAGATCATGTCATGCTTTTCAGAGCATAATGTGCTTGACCCCTTGGCATTACTGTTGATTTCAGAGGGCTCAAAGCTCCTAGTGAGTCATAACTATTAAAAAATACACACATATTGTCATGTTTCTTTCAAAAAACATGTTTGGAAATCCTTGGTTTTCCTATGAAAAGTATAAATAACTTAAAATTGATGCAATTTCACTTATCTTGGAATTTTGAATGCTATTAACTTACCTCCCACAGCATGAAGAATAGCTTCAGGTGCACATGTATCCCATTTCTTGCACCCAGGGCTGGCAAATATATAAGCAGATGCCTTGCCTTCTATAAGTTGAATGACCTATTATGAATAGAGAGTGGCAATCATTGCAAAGGATCTAGAAATTTAGAAATGGGTAGAAATAACACCAGGAATCAGGGATTAAATCCACTTATTCTATGTACTTACAGTCAGAAAATGAACACCAGCCATTTCCATTGATATTACAAGAAACTGTATTAAGATTTGGAAAGCTATACTGTTTTACCATACTCAATTCAATATTTTTGGTTGCTGTAAATACACTCTATAGGATGAAAATCTGCTGTTAGTTTCAGAAACAGTAATTCCCTTCTTGTGCCAGTACTAAAAAAAATAGAGTGGAAACTGTCTACTTGTTGTGTTGGTGCCATTTTGGGCCTTGCACATATTGGAGAAGAGAGATCGGAAGGTCTTGTTTTGACAGCTGTGACAAAATGAAGCTTGAAAACTGGTAGTAAGAGTATTCCCTGTATGCAGAGAAGATTTGCAAAAAATGCAAATGTGCTTGTATTTTTATCCTTTCATATGTGCTGCTAGATAGCTGGAACAAAAACTGTATTAACATGTACTGGAAGACACATCTAATAATTGTGATTAAATTGAACTCCCATTTAGTCATCGTGGTCTTACAACTTCTTATTTTCACCCCTAGAAACAGAATACTGGGGAAGACAGACCTCAGCCATGACCAGCACAGCCACTGTTACAGATACACCTGTACAAATTCTGTCTCCCTCACAGCAGACTGAATGCCAGAGAGAGTTGTGCTGGGGAAGGAGGAGGAAGTCTCCTGCACATTCATGCAAGTAAGCAAATGATTTCTTTTAAAAGTCTTTCTTTTTTTCTCCAAAGGTGCCAGTTCCCAGTAAAAGCAAGAGATTTTGAATTTTCATACCTTGTTTCCTGCTCCTCCAACTCTGATGACACTGTCTGGGTTCAAGGCACTGATGCACTCATTTACCAGGGCACTGCTGTGGGAACGGGTGGTAACGATGATGTGTTTCCCAGCAGGTGCTTCTGTGAGCTGAAATCCAAAGGCACCTATGCCCAGGACTCCCCAGATCGTCCTGCCCAACACAGCACCAGCTCCTGCCTGCAAAAAAGGCACATGGGTCCAGGGGACGGTTAATCACAGTGATCAGCATTTAGACCATAAAGGGAAAGGAATACCTAGAGGCATTGTCACATTTCAGAGAGTATAATATTAATACTGGGTTATATACTTAAACAGTGACACAAAAAATGCCTACTTCAGAGCCTAGAGAGAGAAACTGTATCTCTTTCCTTCTATGGCAGTGACATCATTTACCCTTCTCTTATCTGTGAGATTGTGCTGGTGCATTACATCCTAACTCCAGTGACTGACAGATTAATATTTGTATATTTCTGTATTTCTGTACTTCAGGCACAATCTGCAACTGAAAATATCTTGTAATCTTAAATATTTTGTGATACTTACCACATAGAACACGATAGGCATTACATCAGCTCAAGAGCTTTTTCTTTAAACTCCAGTAAGTTTAATTAACCAGGCTGCACCATGAGCTTCCCCTCTCCCCCTGGATAATACTGAAATCTCCAAATGTGTAAATGCCTGTAGGCTGGCCGTCCCGGACTTAACACCTGAGACGTGGCATGATACAATCTAACCCAGCTGTCAGCTTGGTTTATTTAGGGCTGCAGTTTTACAGCAGTTACCACACATCACAAATGGACCTATTGCTAAAAACTTTCTAGCAAAGACTGTAAAACCAGTGATCTGTACTTGTTTTATCGTATGTACTTTACATATACTGTAGTAGCATGTACAGCATGTGTGCAATGTATACTGTATTAGTGGATTGCACAGGCCTTAGGATTCAGTATGGCTGTCAGTAGGTCTGACATTCAATTCCTGGAAATCAACATTTAAAATTGTATAGATTTAATAAAAAACCCAACACTTTATATTACAACTTCAACACAACTTCATGCCATTTTTCGGTTGAAAGCGTGCTAACTGAAATGGCTTGGAAGGAACATGTAGAAACCACCTAATGCTTTTAAGTAAACCAACAATTTAATACCTCATAGTTGTAATATGGCTGGTTAATAACTCCTGCTATTGCTTTCCCTCCATATGCAATTCCAATAAGAACCGTTACGTGGTCAAGGAGACCTGTACAGAGATAATATGAATGTAAGTTATGCTTGAAAAGAGGGGAAGTATATACATAAAAAAATAAACCTTCAGTAAAAGGCTACAAATTGATACACAGGGTGGTATCTTAAAAATTCCAATACTAATCACAATTTTCAGGTGTAATAGGTTGGTTGATTTTTTTAGTAATTTAGTCTTGAGGTCTGCTAAAAATTGTTCCTAGAACTACATTATAATTATCACATAATGAGAAAAAAGTTTAAAGATACAACTAAATAGCAGTCTGTGATGATATTCTTCTATAACTGTGGTGGGAATTCTTTAGTGATTTTCAAACCCAGAAATTTGTTGGCAGTTGTGTATCTTTTTCCCTGAAAAGGGGAAAAAGCTCAAGCTCTGCCTAAAAAATTTCACATTAATCAACTAAAGGATGCAGTAGGAGACTAAAGTGAGGTTTCATCATACTGGTTTTTAGGGTTGTTTTTTTTTTCCCTTTAATTTTAAGGTCTATTTTTATGGAGACAAATTAGGCTTTGCTAAAAACAGTTTCTTCCCATAAGTAAACAACTGTGATTTGTGGGAAGATGTTTGTTTCATTTTGAAAAGGCTATGAATACAGCTGTGGTATTTGGATTGTTTGAAGAGGAGGATGAAATAAAATGCAGCAAATTCCTGTGCGAAGGGGATATTTAGTCCTTCAATTCAAAGTATTTGCAAAATTGTAAATTTAACTAAAAACTTAAGACAACCTGCCAGGAGTCAAAAGCAGCTCTTTGCACCTTGAAACGATAACCACTCAGGAGCCCATCAGAAATATTCAGTCCTGGTTAGAACTGAATGGAATGATTACAAAAATTCTACAGCGCTCAGAAAGCACAGAAATATCAGCCTTATGAAACAATATTGTAACTTCTATGGTGAAATTATCTACATGTATATGCTACTTTATTGCACTGCTATTTTTTTTAATCAACAGAAATAAAAGAAAATCCAACCTTCAGTGTACTCCTTGGTTCCATCCAGGGGATCAACCCATATTACAAGCTTTAAGAATTAAAAAAGTAAGGAAAATTAACAAATACAAATCATGTCAATTATCATGCAAAGTATAAATTTTACTTTTGTGCTTTTATTTCTTTATGACAGTAAGAAAATAAAAAGATCCAAAGTTTTAACATTATTATATGACTGAAGCCTGTAATGGTATTTTACACCAGAAAGAAAAGCTTAAAAATTGACAGGAATGTCTCAGCAAATCTCTTAATTGAAGTATAGCAGATTAAACTGAACATGGAAATGAGATTACTTCATTATGTCCAAACTAGATTCCTTCCAAATTAATTTGAATCACAAATTGTAAGAAGCAAATTTCTATTTCCCATTACTGGACAGAGGGACATGCAGCATTTCCAGCTCTGGAGGTCCGATTCTTATGACTACATTTCAGTTTTCAAATGAAAAAGAAACATTGACAACATTGAAACAACCATTTTTATTAACACATTGTTAGCTAAAATCAATAAGTCATATAGATATTTATAATATGAAGACATATGAGTAACATAACCATATTACCTCCTCCTCTTTAATTCCTGTGTACTGAGCAGGACAAGGTTTCTTCAGTATTTCTTCACAGTGACCATTTTCAATTAATTCCTCATTTACATCATCAGTGGGCAAATCCTAACAAAAGAATTCTTAGAATTATTAAAGAAAGGTGTTGGACTCACTTCAATTTGCCTTAGAACTGTGTATTTGCTTGCAGCTCAACAAAGATAATGAATTGAAAGGGTGAAATGGGATGGAAATTAGTTTGGGCAATTTTTTTAATTAAAACAGAGGGTTTCCTAAACCCTGCCAAAGCAAATTCCAGTGCAACTGAGAGCAAGATAAACTGTTAGTATGAAGTACTAACACTTAGTGAAATACATACTGTTAGCATGAAATAAACTAGGTACTTACCTCTTCTCCTATAATTGTGACCTTGGGAAACTTCCGTGCCAGGGAAGCACAAATGCTCATTTGTACAAGTCGGTCAGCTTTGGTCTGCAAGTCATTGGGTCCAGCCTGTCCAAGGACATGTGTATGAAAAGAAAACCACCAAAGCAGCACAGTAGCCCATACAGCTACTGTGAATATCTACCTTGTAATCAAAAAGAGGTCTAATTTGATTAATCATCAACCTAGTAAGAGATCTTGCGAGAGGCAGGCTAAAAACTGCAAGAAGCAGAGTTTCCCTGTGTACCCCCGAGCTAAGACAGACTGCTATGACATTAGAACAACATTTACTGCTGTGTTCTTCTCATGCAATTGTACTCACTCTGTATTTGTGCAAATACTACACTGTGTACAGAATGAATTAACACAAGTACAAACCCAGATATAATACATGAAGAGGGAAAGGCAAAACTTAAGGTGTTAACAGGAAAAAGTCATTATTCTAAGGCTCGCTGGAAGGACGTGGAAAATTAGGAAAGAGGAGAAATATAGGGTAGGTGTTAGTCAAAGCTCATTTAAAGGTCCAGTTAATCTAGTTTGTTTACAAAAAGGTAATAGAAACAATTATGATGTATAAACTTCTAATTAGTGAATGGTTCCTTAGTCTAGCACAAAAAGACCATGGACAGCCAGAAGCTAACCAGGGAAATTTAGCTGGTCAGTAACATCCATACATTTTTTCCATCAAAAAATACTTGGGAGGAAACAGTGGATTTGATGTCTCAAGATGATATAAAACAATGAGTGCAAGCCTTCCCAAAAGATATGTAGCCAAACATTGCCACATGGGTTACACTAATTTCTTAAATGTTTATAATCTGCTACATAGTGAAAGTGAGCATCAAGAAAGACAAAGTTCATCCAAGGTTTGCATCTTAATTGAATTAAACAAAAATTTTTTTCTATCTGCTTGTATCTTATTTGCTGACAACATGAAAAGTGTTTTATCCAGCTATGGAAGTTAGCCATAGGAATGGAATGTTCCATTTAGAATCATGTTATGGGTTAATTTTTGTATGCTCAAATCCAATTGCTATTTCTTTTTGAAACTTGATATTTTTCTTTGAAATTTCCTTCTCATTCCCTAATAAATTTGATTGAAATTGGTCCTGAGCTTAGACTCAGAAAGATCAGATTTACTGCAGAGAATGTCCTTCGTTCCAGGACATCAGCCTAACAAACCAGAATAAAGTAGTTCTTCAAAACTACTTCAAAAGCCATCAATAATGTAAGAATGGCTGGACAAAGTGTCTACCTACCAACTGGGGGAAAAAAAAAAGTGCAAGTGCTACAAAGAAAAGCAATGTAAATACAGAGCTTAAAGTTGACTGAGGGAAAGAAAATTCTGGATATTAAGGAAAGGAAAGAGAGGAGCTAGCTAAAAATTCAACTGTCCTTGAACTGTTTTCTTCACTAGGTAAATGGATGGGAGATCGCTATGTTGAGGGAAAAGCTGGAACATAGCTTTCCTAAATGTTTTGAAGCTTCCAATAAGGCCAGTTGGAATTGGTTTTGATGTTTGCTGGCTGCAGAAAGAGGATGAATGATAAGAAGCAGCACTCTCTGCTGAGCATCTCTTCCCTCCAGACTGTAAAGCAAAGGCACACTCAGGTTCTCTCTCTTGCATTCTTCCTCTTTCTTCAGCAGCCACCTTTCAAGATCTCTAGTCCCTCAAACAGGAACACCTTCTGTTGGTCATTGTTTTTGATCTAATTTTCTATGCATAGTATTCATTTTAAAAAAATTCAAAGTATATATAACATCGCATTTAGAACCAATATCACCTGTTACTTCTGGTCATTTTTGAATAACGTAAATATCAGCAGTTACTTCGATGTAAAGATCAAAATTAATAAAGATATTTAATGAAGTCCATAATATGGTGCCATACCTGTAAAGCTAGAATTAACTTCAAATGTTAATTCCATCTATTCTAGAACTGTAGTCAAAACAAAGATCTTGGCTCATCAGTGCAACTTACTAATTTACAGCAAATTAAGAACTTCATGTAGATGATTGTAATTTAATTTCTGCTTTCCAGATAGAATTAAATTTGAACCTCTGAATTAATTTTGAAAACTGTGACAAAATCTAAGGTTCTTTTTTGTTTTAGGAAATAAACACTGATTTATTCTAATCCAAAATTCATCACGGGCAGAGTCTTTTAAGTTGTACTAAGGTGTTAGAACATAGATACAGAAACTAACAGGAAATATGTGTTGTTATGAATTTTGTGCTATCCAGAGCTTGGTTTTTCTTAGGGAAATCAGGACAAAATTATGGTGTTTCTTTTAAGTGTCTGAACATTCTTTAGAAATACTGGTCAAAAGACACTTCTCTAGTGCTCTTTTAATCCTTTAACAAGGAATATATCTTGTATCAGAGGGGTGAGGACTATATTCCCTCCCCGAGTTGCTGATTTTGAAAAATATCACTTTGACCTGTATCTAACTCAGCATTAACAAGGCAAATTAAATTGGAACAAAATAAAAGCAGTACCTTCTCCACTATCCCCAGGTCTCCTGCAGACATCACATTTCTAACAATTGTTGCAGCTTTTTCCGCCACGGAATACGCAGAGGCGACCACACGCATGAGCAGAGCCGGGGAGGCCATCCTGAGGGCTGAAAAGAAACAAACAGCAAACTTGTACAATTCTGTCTTCAAGAGAAGACAAAAGGTAAAATATTTTACATATTTACATTCCAAAAACATACAGCTTAAACTGAGAAGAAAGGGGAAAGCAGGTTATTGCTGATGTGGGCAGTAACAAAGTGAGCTTTGGCTTCTTTAAAAATTATCATTAACAAACACAGGGATATAAAGCTATTTTAGACAAGACTTTGCAAGTAATGATATTCTGTCTGATAGTGAACCTAGTTCTCACTAAAATAAAATCCGACATTAAAAAGAACAGCAGTAGAAACTCTATCACAGATATTAAGAAAAAGCACAGTCTACACAGAGTACTCATTTTTTGTACATTTTGAAATTTTCTCAGAACTGAACCTACAGAGATGGTTTATGCCCATATTCAAGCACAAGGCTGCCAGAGAGGATGACATGACCAACTTCACCTAGTATTTTTCTTTGTTTAAATACAAAATAGGCTTTTGTAGATGGCCTAATTGTGGACAAAAAATAGGTTAATGATATGCAGATCCTGCAAACTTGTATAAGAAAGTCTGTTCATCAAATTTTACCATTCTTTCTGTATTTCTTTAACTTCTCCTGATTCCTCTAAGGAAATCTATCTACATCTTCCTTCCTCCCTTCAATACTGCATGCCCTGTCATTCTCCCTATTATGTTGTCTTCTACATCTGTTCCCCAGCACGCACCAGTGCAATTCACTGTGCCTTCAGTTCCCAAACAGAAGAGTAACTATCACTCTTGGAAAGGCGAACATTCCTCCCAGCTTTTTTTTTTTTTGCCTCAGGAAAAAAAAGTATTGATAACTATGCTGTATTTTTCAAAATGCAAAGCTAATTGCCTTTTATGTTTTCTTATCAGATTTTTCCATCTGTGAAGATAATCTGCTTTTTGGGTTGGGCTCACACGTGTGACACACTTCCAAGAAAACACTTGAGCACAGAGATAGAACAAAATACAGAGAAACTCACTAATCTCCACACAGAAGAAGATATATTAGATATATTATCTGTGAAGTGTAATATAACTATCATTTCACCGATATCACCATCAATATTTGCAGGAATTGCAGCAAGTACTGCGTAAGTGGCAACAGGTCGTTACACAACACCTTCCCTTTCTTCCTTGAGAAACCAAGTTCACGGCTGTTCACAGCAAAGGCAACGTCAGAGGTATCAAAATCCCAAATTTAGCTGATGTAAGAACTTCTTGAGCACTTTAAAAACATTGTACCTGTATCTCTAAAGTCACAAGCTCTCTGAAGCTGAAGGACTAGAGTGATTGTGTAAGTACACTCAAAAAGCACAGTTGCTAATGTTAATTATTATTTAATGCTCCGGGATGGGGACAAAGTGCTCTGGAGTTCTGTAGAATAGCCAAGGTCCATACCCAAAGTGCACAGCTGGGCCATTCATCTTGGCCTGGTAGCAATGGTTACAGAGGAAATTTTGGAAATGCCTCCTGTGGCAAAAAGCCACTCCCAAACAATTGGAAGCTGTAGAGCAAATGCATGTCATAGCACATGAGCTGAGAGATATTAAGTCTATACCATCATGTGAAAGAAGTTAACAGGAAGAAAAATGGAATGTAGTTCAATCCACACTGAAAATATCAGGAATATGAGTATTCTGAGGGAGAGTGAAAAAAAATGCATATTAGATGGGACGTTTGGGTTAAAGAATTAAGCTCCGAAGAAGATAATTAACGTTTTAGGCTCAGCTTCTCATTAGTCATTTGACTTTTTACTATACATTCGATCCTGCTTCATAAAATGAGATTAAAACATAATTGTTTTAAAGGCTGGATTTATTTAATGTTTGTATAAAGTTTCAAAAGACTCAGACAGCAATACAGAAATACTATCTTACACTCTTGAAGCCTGACCCAAGATGTTTCTTGGGCACATTTTTCTTGGCCATTCCTAAGGCAAACAAATATATTTTCTGTGGTGAACCTGAAATCTCTAGGCAAACTTTAATAAAAGTTAAAATATTTGTATGAAAAAACAAGATCTATTAAAAGAAACTGAAATGGGAGGTTCAACACTCCCTCCTCACCAATACAAAGTAACTAATTGCAAAGTATGTTATTACTGCAAAAGGTGTCCTAAATTTTTTGCAGGGCTGCAATCTCCTGTGTGGTACCTCTTCTGGTATATTGGACCTTTTTGGTTAGATAAGCGTGCGTGCTAGTAGGCTGTAAGTTTTTCACCTCTCTAAACTTTTTTATCTCAAATTACCTAGTTTATTTATAAGTTTATGGCACATAAACTGATGAGGGCAATGTCTAATGTATATTTCCACAAGACATTCAAGAATATATTGCTTGCTTTAGACAAAAATTGTTTGACTCTCAGAAAACTATAAAACGTACAAAGACTGCACAGCAACTGTCCCTCAAGTTAAATTTGCGTATAATTGTTAAAACACATCTTGTCCTCCAAAGACCATCCCTCCTTTCTCCTGGCCTACCAACCAAATTATTGAATGGTCTCAACATATCAACCTGATTTGCAAGTTATCAAAATAAATGAGTTCTCCAGTTTCTCTTGCACTTTTCAGTTTTGACGTCTGTAAGTATTACAGGCTGGCTACAACTAATTTATCAGAGCACACACGATGGATTTGTTGATGTTGCTATCTCAGTCCCTTTTATGCCAATTTCCATTTTCCAAATTTATGATTTTGCCTGATGAAAGGAGAAAGTGGACATCACACAGAGCATCGTCTTTAAATGCAAGTGCCAAGCCACAACTTCTTTCTTGGAATTCTTCACCCAAGTGACCAGAGGTCCCTATTTCTTTTCAATAAACTTTGGCACACGTGTAGTAGAAGATAAACTCTCCCTTATGTCAGGAAACAGTGTTTACCCGGCAGAAGCAGGCTGAGACTCGGGACTGAGAATCCCTGCGTCCCACTGCGGTTCACCTATAGACTTCCAAGTGGGAAATGGCTGTGTTACGTCATTTCACCAGTGAGGTAACATTGAGGTTTTGGGCTCAGAGGTCTTTGGAGTTTGTATTAAAAAAAAAAAAAAAAAAAAGAAGAGAAAAGAAAAAAGCCTGTTCTGAGTCTCTTGCCATCGGTATTCCCGGTGGTGCACTGCCTGCAGCGCAGCCGGAATTCCTAAGCACCGAGAAGGGCTCTCCAGCGCATCCATAGGAGCGAGGCAGGGCATAACGCGGGTGCTCGGGAGTGGCAAGAGCAGCTCTGCTGGTACAGCAGCCAACTCACCGTCTCCAGTCTCGCTGTTCCCCGGATCTCCTCCGTCACCGCTCTCCAGCAGCGCGCGGGGCGCTCCAAGCCCTTCCCGCCCCTCGCCTCGCCAAGGACGGACCCAAGGACTGGCCCAACTCCCGGCCCCGCACCACGGCCTCCGCGCCGGCTCCTTCGGAAAAACTCACCACCCTCCCAGAACCCACCTGGGAACGCCCCAAATCTCCCGGCTGCGGGCGGGGCCATCGCTGTCCCGGCCCCTCGGGAGCGCCGAGCGGCCGCCCTCCCACCGCCCTGCGCGGTGTGTCCCGGCCCGCGGCCCGTCGCGCATGCGGAAGCGGCGCCGAGGATGTTTCGGGCCTGGCGGGCGCCGCCGCTGTGCCGGGCCCGGGCCGGGGCTGCCCGGCGATGGGGTCGCGCCGCCGCCTCGGAGGCCGCGGCCGAAACCCGGGAGGACTCCCGGTACCGGGACACGGTGCTGCTGCCGCGCAGCCGCTTCCCCGCGCAGCTCCCGGGGCGGCTGCAGCCCGAGACCGAGCTGGAGACGCAGCAGGTGCGGCCGGGGCGGGGTCCCCGCGGTGCGGGTCCCGGGGGGCCGTGGGGCTGTACCGGCAGGGCTGTGGGGCTGCCACGGGGGTTGCGAACCAGCCCCAGCCCGGTAGGAGTGCGGGAGTGGCGGCGAGGGTTCGTGTGCGGGTTGGCCGTGCTGCGGTGGGTCCAGGCTCTCGCCTGGCCCCGCCGCCTGAGCGTGGGGAAGTTCGGGGTATTGAGTTATTAGTGGTTTGGAGAGGCACAACTTTGTTAAGGTTTTCTTTGGAGAAGGAGTAGCGACACTCCTGATAGCGCAGTGCCGAGGTATTGAACTCAGACCTAATATTTCATCTCCCTCAGGTTTTTAAATACTCAAACCACTGAGTTTAAACCACGGAGTTAGAAAAGTGTGTTTGTTCGCCCGCCTGCTTTTGTTGCCTGTTTTGCTGTCTAGCCAAAATCCAGACTTCTTAGATTTTTGGAAGTTTTGGAAGTGCAAAGACCTGTGGTGATTTTGGTGGGTTTTCTTGCTGTCTCCACAGAAGTGTGGTTTCTCAGAGCTGTACTCATGGCAAAGACAAAGGAAATTGAAGCAGGAGTTTTGTCTGCACGATGGACCACCGTATGCCAACGGAGACCCTCACGTTGGCCATGCGTTAAACAAAGTAAATATTTACTCGTTTGTACCCTGCTGTTCTGAAGTGGTAAACACTTACTGTCGTGTGCTGTGTGTTCTCTATTCACGTAACACTGTAAAATGTTTGGGGTTTTTGGTAGATGGGGCCTTTAAAAAGCAAACAGTGTTGTTATGTAGATTCCATGTGGTGCCCTAGTGGCACAGATACCATACCGTGCTATAAATATCACATGCTCAGTGCTCATTTATGAGACTGAATATTTCAGTCAGAACAGCTTCACGGAGAAAGCCCAGCTGGTTGTTCATTCCTAAGCAATACTAAATGCATAACTTATTTGTGTATTGAGCTTACCAGACATACACACATGAGTGAAGGTACATTTCTGTATGTGTACTGATATTGCTCTCATGCATGATTGAGCTGTGCCTTGCTGTTCTTTTTTCTTTTGAGTGTTTTGCAAATTTGTTCTATCTGTTTATTTTGTTTTATCTGAGTATTTAGATCCATGGAACCATAATGACTAAATGTTGATGGCTTTGAAAATATAAATTTCAGCTTTGATATATTACTCCTAAGTACTTTTGGGTACTTTCAGATTCAGTCCTGAGAAGGACAATATTACATTGGCCACAAAGTGGGAAAGACTAAAATGTCACCCATGGCTTCTTACAGTACCAAAGCCTGGGCTGCAGCAAAATGCACTAGACTAGTGCTGTAGATCCTGCTCAACGTTTTAAAAATGAGAGCAAGTAGGATTTGTTCACTTCAAGTCTTGCAAGTGTATAAACTGCATCTCTCAGTTACTCTGGTTGTGAATTCCTTTGATCAGAGAGGTCTTCTGAGAGTGTCAGGAATGGGGAATGCATAACTCTTCTGGTCTTAAGTGTAAGTTTATCATGGAACCTTTGATACTTGTACTTTTTAAACAGGAGGATCTTAATCACAAATGTAGCTGTTCCACATGGGGGAGCCAAAGTGATAACCGACCCTTGTGGCTTTTCAGATTTTGAAAGACATCACTAATCGCTTCCATGTTATGAGAGGTTATAAAGTACATTATGTGCCAGGGTGGGATTGTCATGGATTGCCAATTGAGTTGAAGGCATTGTCAGAAGTCAAAGGAGCTGAAAATCTTTCACCAATGGAAATTCGGCAGAGAGGTAAATGAACTACTGTCTGCAGTATCGTGGAAAAAGCTGTGTTTTGTATTCTATGCTTTATATGTAACATTTATACTTTACTGTGGGCTTTTCTATTAGCTACTGGGGACATTTTCTTTGATCATTGTATGTATTTGCCAAGCAGATAGAGTACTCTCGAATCCTGTGAAGTGGGATAATTGAACACAGGCTTCATTTGCTGCTGTAATGGACATGCAGAGCACTGACCCTAGGTTTTAAAAAAAAAAAAAAAAAAAACAAAAAACACAAAAGGAGCAAAAGGAGAGGAGAGAATTTGGATGTCTGTTTTGATTAACTGTGCAGTGGCAGGAAGATCATATTTATCAGATCAACATTCTTTTGGATTTGATTAGGAGCTAAAAAGATGCATGTAAAAAGTTCTGTCAGGACAGCTTGGCTCAGTATCATAAGTAAGAATATATTTATTGACTGTGTTTTTAACAGTGCTGCAAAACTAGGGAGGATCCTTCTGGAGGAAGTCTATACCGAGCATTGTATGGAAACTGTTTTGAAGAAATAATTTCAAATACCATATGTGTTGAAACACATCATCGTTCAGCTGCAAAGCTATTTGTAATAAGCAATTTAAACTGCTTTAGTTTGAAGTTGTGGTACTGAAATGGGCTAGCTTATTCTCAGATGCATGTTACTTTGAAAATTTTGGATCAGCATCAACAGAGGCAGTTAACTTTCACTCTTATTTATCTTATTTATTTCGAATGTGTTTTGAGAATTTTTTTTCATAACAAAATATACTTATTTTTTCCCTTTTTCTTAAAAGTTAAGTTTAAATTCTAAAGACGTGTGCTTAATATCCCTGTTGTACTCAAAGTGCCACTCCTGAATCTCTTTACCCTTTGCAACCATTTTATGTAACAACTAGTCTGAAATGTTTATGTTTTGAACCATAATAGTTACTGCATAGTTTTACTATGTTCAGCTCTGGCTTTGCTGAAGAATATCAATGGGGTATTTTAAACGGTATTTTATTGATCTTAGTGGGCTAAACAACGTGTTTAACAGAACTATTCCCTTCAGCCAGAGAATTTGCAGAAAGAGCAATTGAGAAACAGAAATCTGCCTTCATTCGTTGGGGTGTAATGGCAGATTGGGCCAACTGCTACCTTACATTTGACCCAAAGTATGAAGCAAACCAGCTGAGAGTCTTCTATAAAATGTATGATAAGGTATGTTGAACTTTTGTTGAACTGTGTTTTGATTTGTTGTGAGTTTTGATTCTCCTAACTTTCTTCCCCTCCCTTTCCTCTTCAGGGTTTCATTTATCAGGACTATAAACCTGTATTCTGGTCCCCTTCAGCAAAGTAAGGATCAATTTTCTATTTTGTTTTCAATATTTTAGCAAGGATATCGATAGCTTTTCGTGTTCCAGTGTGTTAACTTTTGTTTGATGTCTACCCAGAACAGCTTTGGCTGAGGCAGAGCTCGAATACAATGACCAGCACGTCAGTCGGTCTGTGTACGTGAAGTTCCCGCTGTTAAAGTCACCGCCTAAGCTGAGTTCTGTGCTAGGTATGACCTCTCTATGGATTTAAAGACTGACAGTTTTTATTTTTGTTCTAATTGTGAGTAAAGTACTTCTAATTTACATCTGTAGATGGATCATCCCCTGCTAGTGTGCTAGTCTGGACCACGCAACCTTGGACTGTGCCAGCCAATCAAGCAGTTTGTTACATGCCAGATTCAGCGTAGGTGTCTTTAACTTGGTTCAGTGATCTGTGTCAGTCCTTTATTGATATTTAGCAGCAAAGTTAAAATGTTCTGGACTACCATTACAGTTTACTTAAGCCGTCTTTTTTGTGTTTGGTTTGCTTTGCTTTGCTTTGTGTTTTTTTGTTTGTTTTTTTAAGTGGCACAGTTGTGAGCTTTGTTCTATATCTATTAGCATATTGATTTCTGCTTAATTTTTTTTTTACTTCATGATGCAAAGTTACCTTGAAACTCTTTGGAGATTTACAAACGAATTGGACATGTAAAACATACTTGTGTGTCTTTTCATGAGATGAAGCATATAAAAAACCTGCAGCTTTGTGGTGTTTCTTTATTTAGTATCACACATGCATGTTTGTATTGCAGATACTCAATTGTGAAATGTAAAACTACCGGAGAACAATTAATTCTTGCTGCAGATAGAGTTGAATCTACAGCTGCTGTTCTGGACACACAGTTTGAGGTTATATCAACATGTAAAGGTAGGTTTTAACATCGTTAATCTTTAATTGCTTGGAAATCTCCTGCTAGGTTTCTGAAAACTGCCTTAGTTTTGATGTATTAGTAAGTTTGTTTATAATTTAAGGACATGCTTTACTAAAATAATACAAAGAGGAGTAGTTGTCTGTCAGATTTACTATTAGTGTATTGTAGCTAAAATTTTCATCTATAGATTTCAGATTAATTTTAAAATCTGTATTCGTGCTTGGAAAAATGAAACGTGAAATGAAAGTCTCTTCAGTATGAAAATCTTATTTACGCTGAATGCAGTTTGTCTTCCCATCCATTGCGGATGAGAACAAGGGACAAATTACAAGTATGGCTGTTGCAGTATCATAGGTGGCTGTTGTCTGGACAAACTAAAACAGTTGAGTTTGCATCCTAACAAACTGGACAGTGATATTTCTTGATAGCAGACTTGGGATTCAGTGTCATGAGTTGGGATTTAGTGTCTCATTTGTGAGCTTTATTCATTTGCCTTTATCAGTAATTCAGTGCTGGAAATATGCACATCTGAAGGAGATGAGATATCTGTTTCTATGACTTTACAGGTAGCTTTGGTGTCTTTCCATGGCTGCTTTTTCAGAGGAACTCTTGTTTTTACCTGATGGTAAAATTACCTGGAGGTGTTTTTTTCTTACAGCTTCTACCTTCTTGAATGGTATTATTTGCAGATAACATACAACAGTGGAGTTGGACCTTCTTAAAAAGAAATTTCATGTTGGAACCCCTTCTTTTTATCTTCCCATATATTCAGTAATTAATTGCATTTGTTACCTTTCTCTTTTTGTATACCTAAGTGTCTGACAGCAGTTCCTAAACATGTTCCTTCTAAGAGGAAAGCATTTGGTGAAGGCTGTTTTGTCATAGGAAGCATTCCTTGAGCTCTGTGATTCTTGACTTTCAGCAAGACTTTAATACTAAGATTTCTTCAGGTTTTTTTTAATCTTAAATTGTCCCTTGTTTCATTTGTGCTGTACTCTCTTTATTAGAATGTAATTTGGGGAATTTAAATTAATTGTTAATGATGATATTAATACTTAGTGGCAAAACTTGGAGTAAATCCCAAATTCAGGGGTTTTAGCCTACTAAATAAATATGGAGATTTGTTTCCAGAACACTGAGATAGTTATCCCCAAGGAATGGGAGTGTGTGGAGTGTTTCTAGGTGGAATGGCACTACTCAAGGAATGCCACTGTCTAAGGTAGAAAAAAACTTGTTCTTCAAAAAACAACTTTGCACAGAATGAGCAACGCAGAGAATTGGACAGGGACCCACAGACCAGAGAAAGAAATAGCACATCTGAAGAGTATCCTGTGCATACACTTGATCAGTTTTCTTTTTCTGTTCTCTGATAAAAGAAGCTGGTTGTGTGAATTGTGTTGCCCTATTTTATCTTCTGTTTTTTTAATTTTTCAGGTACAGATTTGGTAGATGGTTCTTGTGCTCATCCCACAATTCCTGGCAAAGTCTCTCCTTTGTTACCTGCAAATCATGTGACAATGGCAAAAGGAACAGGATTAGTTCATACAGCCCCAGCCCATGGTATGGAAGACTACAGTGTAGCTTCCCACCACCAGCTACCCACGGTATTCTATTTTTTCAGCTGTTGCTCTTGATTTCCTGCAACTGTTTGATTGTGTGCCTTTAAGATGATTGTTGCAATTTGTGCATAAAACTTGAAAATGTTTTGAAGCGTTCACAGAAGTGTATCACTAATGTTCTGCAGGAACACAAGACTAACTTTAAAAGAAGTGTTATCAGGATAAAATGATGAAGTTTTTCTTCTGCTAAGTTAAAGCTTATAGGGGAGTGGTAGAACAGAATCAGATTTTTCTGCTTTCTATGTGGTTTTGTTTTTAAAAGGATAACACAGAGAATAATTCTCAGATATTGATTCTCACTACTCAGAATTGTCTTCTACATGCAGACCAGTAAATCACAAGTTATGTAGGTCATTACTGCTATTCTCTTTTAGCAAAGCTTGTTTTAAACATGTGCATAAATACAGCTCAGTTATGCATGGTCATTTTGTGATTGGTTGGAATGAAGATGCAGGATATGGGGGGGGTTAGGTTTGTTTTTGTTTTTTGCTGTTAATATGAAAAGTCATTGACATACCAGTGACTTGATGTAAGAGAGTTGTGGTATATCTGCAAATGCAGTGGTGCTCATTTCTTCTGACACATAAAATTCACTTGCCTGATAAATTACTAAACTGCAGTTCATAAAATCTGAAGTGCACCTAAATATTTTGTTATTTGTCATAAAAGGAGTTACTCAGCAGAGTATTTAACTGGCATCTGAATACCAAAAAGATAATTAATTACCACATGGTATTTTATTGACATGATTAATATATTGATTTTTAGGATTGCCTTGTGGATGAAAGGGGATTTTTTACTGAAGCTGCAGGTCCTGAACTTAAAAACAAGAATGTCCTTGAAGAGGGCAATGAAACCGGTGAGTATTTGATGTTTGACCACTTGTTACTTTATCAGGCACAGTCCTGCAGGTCTGTTTTGTGGGTTCATATAAACTGAACGCATAACAGTAGTGATGTGTTCAAATTGGATTTTAATCTTGCCTCGGTTTTTTTTCCGTCAGTCATTCGGATGCTTCAAGCAGCCGGGAGTTTGTTGAAAGAGGAGAAGTATGTGCACAGTTACCCCTATGACTGGAGAACTAAAAAACCAATGATTATTCGGGCGAGCAAGCAGTGGTTTGTAAACACAGCAAATGTGAAGGCTGCAGCACAGGTACATAATTTTACTTTCTTATGGGACAACTGATTCTATTTGGTATCAGCAAAACAATCTTGCTGTGGTTCACTCCCAAATATATTCTCTAGGGTTTTATGAACACAAGTTGAAAAGTGTCGATTATTTGTTAGAGTTATGAATGTTATCAGGTTTTTTGTCAATATTGATATAATCCATGGTAAATACATTGACTGGCATATTTACTCATTGTTTTTACAGATATATAAGTTTCTTAGAGATACTGATATTTTTCCCACAAAATATCTTTTAAAATACTGTTTTTCAAGGAATTAAAGCAGAAGAGACAAATTTATCTATATCAAAATTATCTTTTTTGTTTTGATAGCCTCATGTGGCCAGACATCTTTGTTTGCTCCCCTGCTAATTTTGTCTCAGTCCTATTTTAAGTGACTCAAAATCGTATTTTTTTTTTTAATATGCAGTGCTCTTTGAAATTATGTACATCCGCACAGAAAATTCAGACCAGCACCTTAGGCTGTCTTGGGTAACAGTGATTTCATTCTAATTAAGGCACGAGGTGTATATTCCATATTAATCTTTATCTAGAATGAATGAAAACATGATGGTTACTCAACAGGGCTGGGAGTGAGTGGTAGCCCACACTCAGTACTACTCAGTATGTATCGAGGTGGGATTTCAAAGCAGATAACAGCACAAGACACAGATGAGCTTTTAAACTTCAGGTGAAGTTACTGATGCCATTCTTAACTCACTTCAGGGTGTGTCTGCTGGAGAATCAGAGTTGGAGAAAAGCTTTGGATTTTGGTTGGGGAAATGTACAGTATATACAGTGTTAAGATTGAAGAGCACCAAGCAGTGAAGTAAACAAACATGACAGCTGCCCAAGAGAACATGTTATTTAATACTGGGAGTGGGAGCATAGGCCTCTATTGTTTTTTACTGGCAGCATAAACAGCGTTTGTGTGAATGCTGAAGTGGGTTCAACAGTTCACTGTCTACTTTGTAGGACGTGCTGAAAAAAGTGAAAGTTATTCCTACGTCTGCAGTGAACAGGATGCTTGAAATGCTGGACAGAAGGACGTTTTGGTGCATATCACGGCAAAGATGTTGGGGTGTCCCAATTCCTGTTTTTTATCAGAGGAACACAGGAGAATGCTTGATAAACAGGTATTTTTCTAGCTTTATATACTGAGAAATGAAAGAAGGAGCACTGTCTGTTGTGCTGCAGTTACATGATATTGTAAACTTCTTACTATTTTAAGTATAAATACAAACTTTTACTTGTATTTGTTTATACACAGAATTAATTTAGCTATAAATTAGAACAGTCAACAACTTGTTGCCGGATGTTACTTGCATGTAATAGGAACCAATTTACTTAGACATTA